TTATGTTTAGATCAAAACATTTTTGGCTCAACCTGCCAGTGATTACTATTAGGAAACAAGTCTGGTTAGGTAATTGACTTGAAAGTGCTTAAAAACATCCGTCTGTCCGGTTTTTAAGAGAGATTATTATTGATTAACCTTGCCTTGGCAGCTAGGAGTTGCCTTTTGAAAGTTGGCACTTGATACTTCTACATCTTTACCCTATCAAAAAGTTGATATGCAAATTGATTGGAAATAGGGGAGATCAAAAAGCGTGGCAGGGACTCGAACCCGCCACCTTCCGTCTATCGAGGAATTTTACTAACCATTACACCAAAACACACTTGATCTTCCATACTCGAGAGGCAGTTAACTCTTTGACTTCTTACTTCATCATTGAATTTCAGCATATTTTACCCAAATTTTGATATTGTTTTGAATAGATTTAAGCTAGAATGAATGAGCCTTGGCCATTTATAATATTTTCCTATTTTTATCTATCTAAAGAAATTCTGGGGAGAATTTAGATCTATCCTGGTTTTTTGGCAGGGAAATGATGTAAAGATACCTATTTTAAATTTGAACTGGCTTTGAAAATAGTCTTTATGAGTCGACTTCTATCATCTGCGAGACGTTCCTAGACAGTGTAGTGGTTAGTACCCGCGTCCGTCACAGGCGGGACCTGGGTTCAACTCCCCACCAGGAAGTCGGCTCGATCCTTTTTTGGCTTTTATCAAGTCTTTAAAGTAAAGGTTGTTCAGATTAGTTTGCAAAAAAGCTTTAAAGCTCCTAATCTTCATCCGCAACTTTTCAAAGTTTATGAGATTTACATTCATTGTTTTAGATGGCGGAGTAATGAGGAAGTGCCTAGTATTTGATTCAGTGATGCTGAATATCTTAACTCAGCAAGCTTTTCAAAAAGTTAGAAAGAATAGGCAAAAGATAAGAAAACGGAAATTGCTTTTGCTTTTGCAAGGATATAAATGATAAAACTTGACTCACCGCAACCTTTTCCCCGATCCGACTCCATTTCTCTTTCATCACCACTTCTCTCACCAAATCAATAGTTTCCAAACGAATACTTTCCCTTTTTTTCTTTAATAAATATTCTCTAGTAGGCTCCAGACTCTAAGAAATTTCTAAAAATTAGATTTTTCTTTTAATAAACCTTGAAAAACTCGTCCAGATCATAAAAATCAATATCCATTTGAGTAATTTGTCAAGTAGAAGCTTTAGAAATTAGAATTAGAAAGCAAAGCGGCAAATTGTTGACAAAATTTGAGAGAAAACGACCTCGTGTCACGTGGATTCTTATCAAAAAAGTGATTCAACCAAAATCACTTTTCAACCAAAATCACTTTGCAACCAAAATCATGAAAACTTGAAAAAACATTGCGCAAGAGTTGAAAACTTTGGATCGTTAAACTCTTGTTGATCCGCTTTTAATGGGAAACTTTTTTTGACGGTAATTTTATTGAAATCAAATTTCTCAAAATTTTTCCTCATATCTGACACTGTTTGATGCGATATTTTCAGCTTTTTCGCAGTATCCATCACGCTGAGTCCATCCTTGACCATTTGCAAGAGTGCTCATGAGTGCCCTCTTTTCTTTTTGTCTCAGGTACAAAATGCACGACGAAAAGTTTCGACTTCGAGCCGCTTTGTGGTATGATTTTAAACAAGGGAAATTCGCGGCTGAATCGCATCCGACAATCATTGAAGTATTTGGAAAGACAGCATTAGCGAAAGACAATGCCAAAGATGGTTTCAGCGGTGCAAAGATGAAAATGAAAGTCTCCAAGACGAGGAACGGTCTGGACGATTTCAGAGATTTCAGATGAGGATTTGTGCCCAAGAGATTGGTGCCCAAGAGATTGGTGCCCAAGAGATTGGTGCCCAAGAGATTGGTGCCCAAGAGATTGGTGCCCAAGAGATTGGTGCCCAAGAGATTGGTGCCCAAGAGATTGGTGCCCAAGAGATTGGTGCCCAAGAGATTGGTGCCCAAGAGATTTGTGCTAATATGTCCCACCGGATGTTTTGGCCGCACCCTGTAGTAGGAATTTCGAAAACGAAGTAAATAAACATTTATTGTTTAATAGTAAAACCCGGAAGTTTGACTTTTCCTGGCTTCTTGACTCGTTGTAGCTCTCTTTAGCAATTCCTCTAGGACTCTTTCCTCTTCCTGCAATCGTATTCGTTAGATTCTTTTTAGATTTTCACTCTTCCTCTTAAATTTTTTAAAAGTTTTTATTGCTAGATACCTTTCTGGGTAGAACTAGTTTCTAGAACTAGGCACGGGTAATAAACCTACTAAAGAAATACAAAAAAATACTCTTCTCACCGTTTAGACTAATAGATTTCTCTGTCTCTCTTGTGCATACACAGTTTTCTTTTCCTAAGCTGTACATATACAGGGTAACTGTTGTAACAAGGTATCACGCATGCAATTCCGATAACTACCTGGCTCTGCTCAAGAATGAACTCTTGCCCTGGGCTGTAAACATTTTGAAAATCGCATTTGAACCTATCAGCAAGATGGCACAAATTCAAGAAAATCCAAGAGTTCTCGCAAAACAACGTCCCGAACTTCATTTCTTTTTCTGAGTGGCCACTTTGCTTTCCAGACCTTAACCCAATGGATTTTTCAGCGGTGGTTGGTTCTAGAAGCCAAAGCTTCTTCAAAGTCGCACAAAAACATCGAAAGCTTGAAGAAATCACTGTTGAAAGTTTAAACTATCAAAACTCAAGACTTTTAGTCAAATCTTGTCTTGTCAAATCGAATCGGAAGAACACCTTCGGCTGGAGATCAATGCGGCGGCTATCGCTCTGAGGGTCATGGGTTCGATTCCGGCTTGTTACAAAATTTTCGACTTTTTTTGCAAAACTCTCAAAAATGAGTTTCTGAGGCTAATTTAATGCGCTGAGTACGAATAACGTGTTTTTAGCATATGTGATCAAACAAAAAACTATCGAAACGCGATTTCGGCACTTTTTTGAGCGTGACTGGGCTCACTAAAACGCCTGTAAAAAGTTGAAAATTAAATGAATTCAAAAATTGTTTTGACCATCTTATTCGTCTTGAATCCAGCTTACTAGTGAGCTATTTATATGTTAGAATTGGTTGAATTTGCGAGCGTCTCCCAAAAAAAACGGACAGGACTTGTCTAGCAACCCAATCTCTAGTACAGTAAAACCTCGTTAGTAGAAAACTCTTTAGTAAATATAGTTATTTATTGAATATAGTTATTTGGTAAATGAACCTCTTTAGTAAATAGCTTTTCTAGCACCTCTTTGACAAAAAACATTCAATTAAACTTCAATAGTCAATAGATTTTTCGATCTCCCTTGAGTCATTTACTAACGAGGTTTGTATTGTATTTAGTAACCGATTTTTCGTGCATTTCCCTAGTTTATCTTGTATTTGGAATACTCCTCCAAAACTGTGATCAAAGTCGAATGTTTTTCGATTGGAATGGAGAGCTTCAACGGACCACACGCGTTTCGACAGTGATTTCAAACGTCCGTTTGTGCAAAACCGTGATTTAGCTAAGTATGTAAGTTGCGATTTGGAAAATCTTTGAATCCACCAGTACAGTAGTGGTCAAAGGCATATGAAAAAGAAATCCAAATCAAAAAATAAAAATGAACGTATAACCTAAGATGAATTAAAAACTAGGCAAAAAAAATGACACAGAATAAGTTTTTAGTTAGTTGATTAACATTAACTAGCGCGGAGATGACAGCCTTTTAAGTTCGCGCCGATGGGTGAGTCCAAACTTTTGACCACTACTCTAACTGTTACAAAGCCAGCGAATCTCACACAAACCTCAGCCAACAACTCGTTGAACACATCTCCGACCTTTTGCGCACAAATTTTCTTCTTTGTCGACTAAATTCGGCTTCCACTATATGGTCAAAATCAAAAACTCACCTTCGATTTCCGTATTTGCAGTACGTTGCGCTTGAGCTTTTGCGCGTCCGTCCATTTTGGGCTCTCCGTACGACGAATGAGCTCATTCTAAAGTTAATACAATCCAGTTTTTAGGAAATTTGTTTAAAACCGAATCCAAAAACAGTCAACGATATACAGGGTGATCAGAAATAACGTTGCGGCCTAATTTAGCCTATTTTTTAAAAATCCAAAAAGATTTTGTAACAGAAACAATTTTTTATTAACAACATGATATAAAGAGAGCATAAAATCTACTTTTCTTCAAAGTGGCCACCTTGGCTCCGATGCAGAGCCTCAAACGCTTGATGAAGTTTTCGGCGATGGGCCGCAGCTCGACCGGATTGATTCGATCCCATTTCCTGGTCAACGATCGCTTAAGAGCCTCCAAACTTTTGTGGGGTTTTGCACAAGCCCTTGCCTCCAAAATTGACCAAACACTGTAGTCCAACGGATTGAGATCGCACGAATACGGAGGCCATTCCTGGACCGAGATGAAATCCGGAAAGTTTGTTCTACACCAGTCCTTTCTGGATTTGGCTCGATGAGAAGGAGGGGAGTCTTGTTGGAAGGTCCAAAATCCGTTACCAAAATGCTGTTGAGCCCATGGAAGCAAAGTATCCTCAAGAATCTTTTTTTGGTACACGTCCTTATTGATTTTTACTCCAGAATCGATGAAAATGAGAGGAGTTTTGCGGGTTGTGCAGATTTCGGCCCATACCATGACCGATTTGGGATTTTGTCGGTGTTGAACAATCGCAGAGCTGCCTGGAGAGGAAGTTGACCAAATCCGATCGTTTTGGTGGTTGTAGCTTTGCTCCACCGAGAAGAGCTTCTCGTCAGAAAACAGCTCCCAGTGTGGAGTTGCGGCCCGCTTGAGACGCTCTCGACATCTTTCGAGTCGAACTCATTTGTTGTTGCCCTTGCTTGAGCTTGTAAGGGTGAAGATTGAGCTCATTTTTGGCCATAAGTCGAACCTATTCGCGCGCGATCCCCGTCTGTCGAGCGATCTTTCTCATTGAGACCTGTGGATTCCGGGCCACGCGCTTCTGTATCACTTTGCGATTTCTGGACGTGTTGACTGTTCTTTTTCTGCCTCTACCTGGACGATCTCCATCGTTGCCAAGCTCCTTGTATCGCTTCATCGCTTTTGAGACGAGCTGATGAGAAGCACGTAGCAATCGCGCGATCGCACCCACGCATTGACCTTCACAATGAAGGTCCAGAATGGCAGATCCCTTGTTTGTCATCCTATAAAAAAATGAATAGACTTGAAACAAAGTAAAACAACAGAGAAACTAATAAAAACAATCACAGAGAATATGTTAAAAATAAATTTGTCTCCCAAAATTAAAAATTTGAGGATTCTAGGCTGCCGAAAATCCCGCAACGTTATTTCTGGTCAGCCTGTAATAGAAATATTCATTTGAGCAAAAGTTCAACATTTTTGATTTTTTTCAAAAACATCCAATCATTGAGTTCTCAATAAACACATACCTCGTATCGCCGAACATTGACCTCAATTCCATGGTGTTCCCGCATGTACAGGGCGCACTCGGTGTGAAATTTGTGCACAAAGTACATCATGACTTTCGGGTCGATTCGAGCCTCACACCACGCCGCATACTCCTGATAGACCTCTTCGAAATCTCTCTGCTTTTCGTTTTTGTCATGGATTTGCTTAAACGCGACCTTTCTTTGTACAAAATTGGCTCAACCTCTAGAATTCCTTTCAAAACGCGAAACTTGATGTCCATCTCGCGGACAGCGTCTTCATCTAGCGGTTTCGAGACATATTGGTCGATTTCTGTGTCGAAGCTATCATCTGAAGTATGTTTATGACAATATTAGCTCTAAATTAAACCGGATTCTGGCGAGTCAGGGCGTGGCAAGTTGGTTGGCAATGAAGCACTAAATGTTAACAATATTTTGGCTTTTTTGACCTGCTTTGAAATTTTGTTCTAACGATGCTATACCAAAGCTGGCCTGGTCTTGCAAGCAGCTTGGTTTTACAGACCTTAGAGTTCAGATAGAAGAACCCTAATCGGTTATAGCCGATGATATCTCACTATATTTCCAAGACTCTACTTCATAGCCACAGTTGAAGGACGAAGAGATGCGTCTCTACTCGTTGAAAACCGTATTCTGGTGAGTCAGGGCGTAGCAAGTTGGTTGGCAATGAAGCACTAAATCACAACAATATTTTGGCTTTTTTGACCTGCTTTGAAGTTTTCTTCTAACGATGCTATGCCAAACTGGCCTACTCTTACAATCAGATTGGTTTTAGAGTCCAGATAGAACAACCCTAATCGGTTATAGCCGATGATATCTCACTATATTTCCAAGACTTTACTTTATAACCACAGTTGAAGGACGAAGAGATGCGTCTCTACTCGTTGAAACTTCTCCAAGAGTTGAAACCTTATTCAACAACTCTTTCCGCATTTTGGTCAATTTTCATCGCTTTCTTTGACTTCTCATCAATGACTTCCTGAAGCAATCTTTATTTGAATTCACTTTTCCACACACCATTATCTCTTCTTTCAAATCTTTCCAATTCCCTCTCGAAATTACTTCTTCAATCATCAACAATGTTTCCTGTCTCAATTTCTCATCATCACTCATCAAAGCCAATTCTTCAATGGTAGGCAAAACCTAAAATGAATCCAATTTTTGTTTAAAGAAGTCATTTACCGATAAATCCTTGTCCTGATCGCTCATCTTGAAATATTTTCAACTAAAAACAGAATTAAAATTGAAATAAATACAAGAAAAATCAAATCAAATCGAATCGAAAGCTCATCCAAAACAATAAACTCAAAAATTTATTAAAGATTGCTTAATGGTGAAAATCCTGCGTTTCCTCGGTTCGATTTGCGAATCTCTCCATTTCTTGGCCATAGTCATTTCTTTGATTCGATCGTGACCCAGATTGGTGATAGTTTCTCGCTTGTGGATGCTCTTGATCATGTGAGGTCCTTCCATATGAGGTAACTATAAAATGATGTTTTACAGGGATTTCCTTATGAAATATTGGTTTATTGGCTAAATTCTAGAACTGTTTTTAGATTTTTTTTACTGGCTAAAGTCTAGAACTTTAACAATTGTATTATTTCAAAACAGAAAGCCAAGGGCAAGCTTATTTGGTGTTTAGATAATGGTTTGATTGGTATGAAATGTCACTATTTTCCCGATTCTTGAAACTCGTAAACAAATAAAGTCAAGAACACTTTTCTAAGGACAATGAAACCGGGTTTCTTCACTTTATTTGTTATTTCGAAATTTTGTCAACGTTTGGCTATTGGAAATCTGCCACTTGGACATCTGTGACACGTTATATTGTACGAATTTCTACAAGAACATAATGACCTCTAGTGTTCAGCTAATATTAAAAATGTGGAAGGAGAAGCTCCATGTGCAAATTGGTTTGCTAAATTTCGTTCTGGGGATAAACGAAGACAAACTGAGGAGTCATCCAGCAGTTCAGCTAGATAATGCCAAGTTGTTAAAATTTTTCAAATCAACAGGCTTCCTTCCTAATAGCAAAAGAGTTATTCGTTGATCATCGTCGAAAATTTGCATACACTTGGGTCAAAATTAGAGACTTGGATCCGACATGACTTAATAGAAACAACAGATTGAATTAAAAGACCTAACAGACGTACCAGATCCCCAGAAATGACAACGCGTTTCAATCAGCGCCGCTTACCCTTCTCGATGCAAGCGCAAATCGTTTTTACTCTTTACTTTGTGACAAAGGATGAAAATGAATTCTAGCTCTCAACTTTCAGTAAAAGCGTCAATGGGTTGCACAGGGGGAAAAGCCCGAACTCAACGTCATGCCAAATTTGGATAAGAAAAAGTTTATGCTCTCGGTGTTCTAGTATTTGAAATGCCCCATCTACTGGGAACTGAATAGCAAGATAACAATCAACTCAATCAAATACTCGAAGCAACTAGACAAGTCAGTCAAGTCTTTGCTAGAGAAAAGATCATGATAATGCTAGACCGCATCTTTCGAACATGACTCGTTTTAAACTAAACTCAATGGGGGTGATGACCCATCCTGCATACAGCCCTAATCTTGCACCTTCTGATAACTACTGATTCCAAGTGATGAGCAATGATTTGATCAATCAACGTTTGATTTCGAATATGATGTGTCTAAAAGGAGCTTACGGATTAATTCGCATTAAAACCAAAAATTTTCTACAAAAAAGGCATCTCGTCTTTGCCAATAAAATGAGCTCAAAGCATCCAAAATAATGGAAAATATTGATAATGATTGCATGTAAAAGACTGAATAAATCAGTTGTTTATTTTTGGCGACATTTCCTACCCATCAACCCAATAACAATGTTTTAATAAGCAATTTCCTGCCTGAATCGCAGATATTTCGAAAGTTCGGAAAAGAGAATCTTTTCCTCGATCTGTTCCCATCTTCCAGACTCCTCAATATATCAGCTTGTCGTCGTTTTTCCTCGTTTTCTCTTCGCTCCCGTTCTTCCCGTTCTCGCCTCTGAATTGAATTCTTGGAAACTATTTTACACAACAAAAAACATTTTTCCTTATGATGGACCACTCTTTTATATCGCTCAGGAAAGTGATGTGGGTGCCGAACGGAACATTTAACGGAATATCTCTGCGTACTCGTTCGTACTCGTTCAGCGTGTCCCTCTCGCCGAAGCCATTTTTTGGCTGAAAAGTGGATTTCTTTGCCAAGCTCCTTGTCATTGTTTTGAATATAAAATCAATGATTAGGGCTGTAAACTAGGCCAGGCCAGGTTTAAGCTAGGCCAATGTCAGCCTCAACGAGTCCTCAAAAAGTAGCAAAGTCAACCCAAGCCTGGCCAGGAAAGATCGCTTTTATATCAATACTTTATTCATGTAAGCATGAAAAAGTTACAACGGAACATTTCTTTGAAATAATTCTGGCTAGAATCCAGACTGGTATGGGTTTATTGATTAGTTGTACCGGGAATTATCGACTCACCAAGCCGTAAAAGAAAAAGATCCATTTGTCGACGAGCACCTGGTCAAGCAGTTTAGACAATTCCCCATATTTGTCATACTTGCAAAGAGTGCTCGAGAAAAAGTCGCGTTGACTTTTCGAGCATTCGATGAGTGCCGAGATTTTCGCAATGCTCAATGGGTCACACGCGAGTACATTGTGAAACTCCTAAAGGTTCAAAAGTTTTGAATTAACTTCAGAAAAGTATGTTCTTCACTAGCACTTTCGACTGGCCTATTAACTTGTGGAACATCCATGATGTAAGTGACACTAAAGCTAACAAATCTCACGCAAACCTCAGCCAACAACTCGTTGAACACATCTCCGACCCTTTGCGCACAAATTTTCTTCTTTGTGGGCTAAATTCGGCTTTTTCAATTTAACCAATCTGATCAATTTACCTTCGTTTGCCGTCTTTGCAACACTTTTCGCTTGAGCTTTTGCGCGTCCGTCCATTTCGGGTTCTCCGTACGACGAATGAGCTCATTCTAAAGTTGATATAGCAGCTTCGTTTGATAATTTACATGACTGTATCCAGATTTTAGATTAGACTTTTTTTGTTCAAAATTGTGAGCCTGTAGAAAATCCAGGTCCTGGGCTTTGATTCTGATCTGTCTCTGCCTCTGGTCATAGAAAAACATTGGTTCATGAGCTAGCGACTGTAAGGCAGGGGCCGGGTTCACCATTCGCAAGATCGCAAGATTTTGGACACAAGTCTGGTTCATCAAATTGAGCATTGCGAAAATCTCGGCACTCATCGAATGCACGAAAACTAAACGCGACTTTTTCTCGAGGACTCTTTGCAAATATGACAAATATGGGGACAAGATCTTTCGACTTTTGCAAGTCACCCAACAAGGTGACTTGTGATATATAAAAACACTGAAAATGACGCTAAAAAGCAATATTTTTTAAAAACGGAAAAGTCGCACGTCACAACTCGCAAGCCCCAAGTTCGCAAGTTCGCAAGTTGCAAGTCCTAAGTCCTCGTAATTTGGTGATGGGGGGCCCAGGTCTTGGACTGGCTACTGGATCTCGCTTTGCTGCAGACCCAACTCACAAAGCTCCTGACAGGCCTGTCTGTAAGCCCGTTAGAAGCCTGACCTGGCCTGGCCCGGTTGAAAGAACCCAATTTCCGGAAATGGATTCACAACGAATCCAAAAATAGTCAAAGATATAATAGACAAGATCCATTTGAGCAAAAGTTCAACATTTTTGAGTCATCAAACATCAAAAACATGCAATCATTGAGTGCTCAATGAACACAAACCTCGTATCGCCGAACATTGACCTCAATTCCATGGTGTTCCCGCATGTACAGGGCGCACTCGGTGTGAAATTTATGCACAAAGTACATCATGACTTTTGAGTCGATTCGAATCTCACACCACATCGCATACTCCTGGTAGATCGCTTCGAAATGTTTCTGCTTTTCATTTTTGTCATCGATTTGCTGAAATGTGACTTTTCTTTGCACAAAATTGGCTCAACCTCTAGAATTGCTTTCAAAACGCCGAGCTTGATGTCCATCTCGTGGACAGCGTCTTCATCTAGCGTTTTCGAGACATATTGGTCGATCTCTGTGTCGGAGATTTCATCTGAAGTATGTTTATGACAATATTAGTTGCAAATTAAACGGTATTCTGGTGAGTCAGGGCGTGGAAAGTTGAGTGGCAATGAGGCACTAAATGACGAGAATAATTTGGTCGCTTGCTTTGCTTTTTGTTTTGTTTTAACTATGATCTTCTAAAGCGGGACTTTTGCGTCGTTGTTCCGTTAAGATATATGTGAATTTCTTCAGTTTGTCTCTAGTTGGGGAAAGGTACTCGGAGAATGGCATAAATGGCTTTATTAGGTTTATCTTCTATCATTCTAACTCAAATTTATTCAAAAGCCATCTAAAACCTAGGAAAAATATGCTAAAATTCAATGATATAGTAAGGAGTCAAGATCAATTTGCATATTAATTCGTTACAAAGGTGTAGAAGTACCGTTAAAGCTCTGACTTTAACAAACCTCCGTGAATCTACTAGATCCTCATTTGCATAGGTTCTTTCCTTTTGGTCAGCTTCGAATCTTTGTCTTGTCTTTTCTATTCCCGAATCATCTACTATGTTCCTTTCATTGTTTAATTCAACTTCTTTCGAGGGTTTTGAAATAGGTTTGTAACAAGGTGGTGGTCGATGATTTTCCATTAGTTTCAAAGAAGTTTCAGCGCTTTCTTTTCTCTTTTCCTCTTCGAACGTATCGAGCAGATTTAGAGAACCATTTGATTGCGTTTTACAAATTTCATGCTCTTCCTCCAGATCATTTTCCGAATCAGAAGCAATAGCCGAATAATTTGCGGAATCATATTTCTAAAGTGAGCCAAGATTCGCTAGAATTAGTCTCAAACCTGGATCTCGGCAGCCAATTCAGCTTCGAGCTCGGCTTTTTTGATCTCTGCGATTTTCTTTGAGACAAGCATGTCCCGGCAAACCAAACCGGTTTTCTAAAAAGATAGTGAAGGAGAAATTTTAAGAAACAGTTTAGTTAGATGAATAAACATTCCACAAGCTCGGTTTAGTTTCAATAACTACCATAATCTTGATAAAATTTCAAACCTTTAAAGTGCTTTGAATCACTTCTTTGATTGTGTGAAACTGTGCGCTTTCGATGGTATTTTTCATGCACTCAATTTTGAAAGATTCAATCATTTTTTTAATGTGAACTTTGATCTGATCTTCTTCTGGAACATTGCCGAAGTTGGTCTGAAATATTTAAAGAATTGAAAAGTTTAGAGCTGAACAAGCTGACAAACCGTGAGCAAATAAACTCGGAGCTCATTGTTCAACTCATTGAGTCGAGTTTCAATGAATTGTGATCTAAGGGTGATAATTTTTGTGTTCAGCGTTTCCTAAAGCAAATGATAAAAAGTTCTTGATTAAAATGGAACAATTACCTTTATTGAATGAATGGTCGCTGAGGGCATTGTAAAGCTACCGTATTTCTCAATAATTGAGTCCCTTTCCCAGTGCAAAGCCTCTTTTAAAGTTGAAATCTGTTTGAAAGGTTTGTAAATGTTGATTGAAAATGATTTTTATCTTAGTATAAGTATCTTAGCCTCAATTTTTAAACCTACCTTGTGAATTTTCGTTTTAAATTCTTGGGCAAACTTCTCAGACCCTTTCAACGCGTCTTTCTCCGTTTTCAGTGAAGCGAACTCGTTTTTCTTCTCCAGAAGCATTTCCTAAGGTTAAAAAAACTGTTTTTATTATCTCTTGGTACTATCAAAATACTTTTACATCGTTTTCTCGTCAACCAAAACAAAATAAATGTAAATTTCCTCTTTCTCTAGTTGGGCAAAGATCCGAAAAATATTAGCTTGCTAAATATGAAAGGTTATTTTTTTGATCATTTTTAACATAACAGAAAAATTTATTTAAACACTTTCAAAATCAAATGTATTCACCACAAGCATTAATGACTTCTTTCCAACGTCGCCCCAAATCACGAATGTCGTCCTCGTAAAATTGAAGATTTTAGAGGCGAAATGGTTGGCAACCCAATTTTTGATGTCCTGCTTTTGCTTGAACTGCTTTCCCGAAACGGCTTGTTTCATAGACGGAAAGAAATGGTAATCCGATGGGGCTAGGTAAGAGCTGTGTGGTGGGTGAGGAAGAAGTTTCCATCCCAACTTATCGATCTGTTCGTGGGCGACCTTTGAAATGTGCGGCCTAGCATTGTCGTAAAGAAATCTGACCTTTGATGGATCGATCCGCTTTTTCCTCAGTGCTCGATCGACTCGACCCAGTTGTTCTGCATAGAGTCTTTCATCAACAGTCTCGCCTTGATCTAATACTTCAAAATAAGCCAATCCCTTAGTATTCCACCATATACAGAGCATAACTTGTATCCGAGGCTTCGGGATTGGATGAGGGGTCTGCTTCGAACTCAGCCACTGTTCATGGAGTTGAATGTTTTCATACGGAAGCCAAGTCTCATCAGATGTCAAAAAATACTTCCAAAAGTCACGATGGTGAGCCTTGCGTAGAAGCAAAGAGCTCAGGGTGACTCGTGTGATTTTGTGGGCATCAGTGAGGTCGTGGGGGAGCCATTTCCCGCTTCGATATGATTTTCCAAGAACGTGTAAATGGTTTTCAATGGTAAAATAAGTGCATCCAAACTTTTCTGCTAATTTTCTACACTTTTGCGATGGATCCAAAACGACCTTGTTCAGCTGATCGTCCAAAGTAATCGGTGGCTTTCCATGTGGTGCATCTTCCAATGACTCGTTTCCCGTTTTGAAGCGATCGTACCAAACATAACATTGTTTGTAAGTCAGAGCAGCCTCTCCAAAAACAGTGCAAATGTTCTGATGGCATTCCGTAGCTTTCTTGTTTAGCTTGAATTCAAAGGATATGGCAGCCCTGATTTTAAATTTTTGGTCATCCATCTTTGTCGAGCTGAAACAATACAAATAATATTCAAAACAAAAAAGTTTTTGCAACAAAAAACATAAGTACATTTTGACATATTATTGAGAAAAATCCTAGACAGCGAATGTTCTTCGTAACGACAGGGCAATATTTTTTGTAAAAAAATAACCTTTCATATTTACCAAGCTAATAGTATAAATGACTATACCGGAAACTGAATTTAACAGGTAAACTTAAGTAAACTAAACCATTTCAAGACGTTCAGTTACCCAGTTCAGTCACAGAATGAACAAAGCAATGTTTCGTTTGAAATACTTTTGCTCTTACCTCAATCTTTGGATCCAGCAAAGCGTGAGCTTCAGCAACGAGATTTTCCTTTTTCAGCAACAGGGTTTCCAATTTTCGGTGAACTTCAGCTTTCCCTAAAGCTTCAGCCATTGACAAAGTTTCCGGAGTTGAAGTCTGAAATATTTTTGTCAAGTAAAGTTTTTCGGCTTTGTTTTGAAAGTTTCCGGGTATTTTGAAGATTTCGTCGTTTGAGTCGTCACACTTGAAGTTATAACTTTATCCAGAGATAATATTATTTATAACTTTCCATAAAGTTTTATAGAGAAGACTTCAGACTCTCGAATGATTCCATAAAGAGCTTCATTGAACTTTCCATTCGCATGCAAACTAGGCTTCAAAGGCACCCGAGTTGAATCGGCCTCATTTACTGATTTGGCTTTGATTTCTCTAGACTGGAGTATCTAATCAAACTGTATTTGGTATCATTCGAAAGGCTGAAATGCCTTCTATATAATGATATAAAAAGTTAGGAATAATAATGTTTCTGGCTTAGAACTAGATCTAGGTTCAAGTCCAGCTCCAGCTCCTATTCTAGATTCAATCCAGATCCAGTTCCAGATTTAGGATCAGGTCTAGGTCTAAGTCCAGCTGTAGCTCCAGCTCCAGTTCCAGGTTAAGGAATAGCTTTAAGTTCAAGTCCAGCTCCAGTTTCAGGTCTGGATAAAGTTATAGGCCTTTAAAGTGTGACGATTCATTCAAAATACCCGGCAAGCATTTTCTCAAAGCAGAAAGGAAAGCAAGAGCCATTTTTCTTTGGCCAAGATACCTTGATTGCTTTCGCAAAGACATCAAATGCTTTGTTCACTGCTTGGATTACGGTGGCTTCTTGGATTAACTAAACTTGCAATTACTCACGAATGCTAGCCTGAACAACCTCGACAGTTGGCCTCAACTCCGGAGCTTCGTCTTGGAGATAAGCCGTGATTTTCTAAACTTTGCTTTACAAAATCTCTTCTCAATTAAACTTTGGTTAGTTCGATTGGAGCTTGTAGTTGAGCTTTGCTCTCAAGCTGACACTTTTCATAGATCAAGTGTTGAACTCGTTTAAGACATTGGATCAGTATTTGATCTAAAAACAGTTCTGCTTTGCTCTGCTATTTTCTAAAGAATGCTTTTTACTACAGTACCCTCTTCTTGTAACTCAATTGTTCGATCAGCTCGTCGAATCCGATCCGAAACTGGCGCCACGCAAACGCAATCGATTCCATTTATAAAGCGATTTTTCAATGACGCAGCGATTTCTTTAATTTCTTTCGACTTCTCATTTTGATTCTGGAATTTTATCGTCTAAAAATTTGAAATTGAAATCCAAATACCCATAATTTCTCGAGAAACTCGCTCTCTTTCCAATCAGCCGCATCGCGTATCACGAAAATTAGACTCTAAATAGATTGTAGAACATTTAATACCCGCCCCGACCCTTTTCCCATTGACAAGCTAACTTTGCGCTCAAATTACTTAGTATTTCGCTGTTCAATATAAATAGTTTTTGTACCAATCGACAGAGAAAGACTCGGCGCATCCAATCATACCAATCATTTACGAATTGAACGGCCTAGCACCAAGATATTTGAGCGCAAAGTTAGATTGTCAATCGGAAAAGGGTCGGGGCGGGTATTAAATGTCCGATAAGCCTTTAAAGATGTAGGAGTTTTAGCTAAAAGTTTCAAATCTTGGAATGCTGGCTGTTATTTGTGTTTAATACTGGTTTCTTTCATCGATACTGGCTGTCGTTCTGACATGCTAGAGTTGGGTAATGAACCCGGGAAGGGGTGTCATTAAAGTGATGCTTTTGGAAATGGGTTACAGTAGCTTTGATTTACGGTACGGTATAATACTATTAAATACTAACTATCTTGTAAGTTTTATTGTAAACGCACCCGTTCTGACACAAACTTGGTTAACATATTTACGACGATACAACTAATGACAGTTTTTTTTGGTGACAACTCGTTTTTAAGGCTTTTGTTATTTATTTCATTGAAAGTTCTCAGTAATTTTATGCTAGTTTCCAAGAGGAGATTCAGGTCTATCGAATGACTATAATAGATTAGTTTATCTTTGGATTGACATAGTTTTTTTAGTATAACAGTTAACGACTGTACGCTCAAAATACCATCGTCCATCCTACCTTTGCCACTGAGCCTTCTTTAAAAGACGCAGCTGATTCAACAAACAGATTCAAATCATGAAGATCATCGCCGCTGATATTTCCTCGAAGATTAACAATCTGAAAGTGAACAAAAAGATCCTTGAATAAACAAAATCACAAAATAGAAAAGGCTGAAATTTCAGGAATTTTCAAGTTTAGAAAATTCGAAATTTTCATTGTCGAGAATGAAATTTACATAACAATTTGTGAGTTTTAGGCTTTTCTCAAGGTCTACAATTGCTGGATCTCAAGGTCTACAATAGTGACTTTCACAGTTCTCCAATCGGAGATGAGTAGACTGTTCCGATGTTCACAATACCTGAACATCGGAGATGAGTAGACTAAACCCGGCGATCCACGTCGAGATATTCCTCGTCGTTTTCAAATCGAATGTCCCCTGAGTGTCCAAAAAGAAAATCACGTGTGTTCCCTGAAAATGTTTCTTTATTTCAAATCCATTTTTGTTTGCATAAAACTTTGCAAAGGCTTTATTGAATATTTATCAGAATATGTCTTATCAGAGCCGTGAAGCTGAGCGGGAGAACGTTTTCTTAACACAAAAACAACTGCCTTTTGGAAATGAGTTGCGAAAGAGCGCTCGGACAAAGTTCAAAATCCCGTTATTTTAGAATTTCAGAATAGATGCTTGCACTATGCACTTGGTCAGGTTAAGGTAAGGAATTACATTGAGTTGGACACACTCGGTTGGGAATATACAACAGAACAAAATCTGGGTTGGAAATGCAATCGTCTCCGCCGGGATCCGAACCCGCGACCTGTAGCTTTTCGGGCGAACGCTCTACCAATGAGTCATACCGACACTTCTCCAATTGCCGGCAGGATAGGGTCTTATGCTTAATGTAAGTTAAAAACGAAGAACTGAATTGTGTGGACTGTACCAGAGATACTTCAACCTGGTCACTAGGACTAGGTCAGCTTACGGATAGCCTAGAAACCTAAGGATAGCCTGGAAGCCTAGGATAGCCTGAAGGTCTAGAATAAGCCTGGAAGCCTAGGATAGCCTGAAAGTCCGAGAATAGCCTGAAAGTCTAGAATAAGCCTGGAAATCAGGCTCTGCTCTGACTGGGCCAAGTACTGGGCCAGCACAGGACTAAGTTTGAGTAACTATTGTTACCGCTCCAAATCAAAACTAGGGCTTGATCTAGCTTTGATTGGACTAGATCAAGCCAAGGGTAAGCGAAGACAGGATTGGTCCAATTCAGGTCAAACAAATTGTAATCAAGGCAACTCACATCTTTCGAGATCATCGGATTGACGAAGATTAGAATCCCCTCTGTGTATCGCTCGTAGCCGCTTTGAAAAGCGCCACTGAAGGAATGAGAGGTGAAATATTCGTTCGAAACAAACCTAATTTTGTTTCCTTTCATTCCACCAGTCAAAAATGACATCAAGAAACTCTTGCCCATCCTTGATGGGCCCATTACAGTCACGAGACTGATCTGCAAGCTTTTCATCGTTAGTAAATCTTTTAAAATAGTGAGAAGAAAGAAATTCTTGGTGGTTTTGCTGCTTTATGCTTCTAGTGTAAAAATTTCTCTTATGTGAGAAAGTTAATTAGAAAAAAGGTTAGTTAGTTAATTCAACTCCAACCTTTTTTCCATGATAAGCTTCATTCGCGAAAGTTTTTCTTGCAATCTGCTCATCAAAGTGAATCTCGTCTTCCTCAAAAGTCACCAAAGGGAGAAGCACGTTTTCTTCGCTCTGAAACGAAAGTCAGAATGCTAAGAAACGTTCAGAATATAGTGGTACGATTCAAATGCATATTTTTGTTCGATTTCAGTTCAATTCTTGGACTCACAGAGTTTACCGGTCGATACCCCTTGTGATCTTGTAAACGATCGGGTACCTCATAGGACATCTGAAATTTGAAATAAACAAAACAAGGATCTTCATAGGATTACCGTACTTAGACAAGGTCGATAAACAGACAATACAAGACACCTATTTTAGACAAACTACCGTAACCAAACCGCCAGTTTTCATTCGATCAACCCAATTTTGGTATCATTCGATGAGGGAATCAAGGCTTCGGCAATGATACAAAAATTGAGCTCATTGAATGGAAACTGATGATTACGGTAGTTTATCTAAAATAGATGCTTTTTAGCAAAACGGATTAACTGGTAGACAACGAAATATATAGTATCTGGATGTACAGGCGAATTGATAGCGAATAGCCGCGAATTATACTCACTCACTTCTAAAAGTCTAGCTCAGCGAGAACTCAATGAATTCGTATGAGATTTTTGCAGATCATTTTTTAGTATTTCTCCTGTAGCCAAATCAATTTTCTAACTAATTCCTGCTTCTAGAATCTTTATATGAGCTTTCAAAGTTGAAGGTCTTGACAAAAAAAACTATTTTCAACTTCGAAAGCTCATATAAAGATTCTAGAAACAGGAATTAGTTAGAAAATTGACTTGGCTACAGAAGAAATACTTTTCTATGCAGTATTTAATTTGTTTTATCTTTTTTCATCTTAAACCTAATCATATTCATTAAATAACTTCAAAAACAGCTCTCAAAAACTTTGATTCGGATTTTTTTGCTAAGACTTTCAACTTTATAAGGCTATATAAAAATTCTACAAGCGCCAATTAGTTAGAAAATTGACTTGGCTACAGAAGAAATACTTAAAAATGGTCTGCAAAAATTTCATACGAATTCATTGAGTTCTCGCTGAGCTAGATTTTTAGAAGTGAGTTGCTATAATTGGCCACAAACTGAGAAGTCGAAAGAAAGAGGTAATGCAATCGACTCTGCATTCAAAAATTTATGAAAAGTCTCTAGAATTTTTAAATAGATATGCTTGGTTTTCAAAAATTTCAGAAATCAATATCTTTCTTTTGGTTTGGCAAGAGAATTTTTACGAAAAGAGAAGAAAAATTCAATTTTCTTGCTCAACAAAAATGTTCAAATGAAAATTTGAAAATAAATGCAATTTCAGCTTTCAGAATTTCCTTTTGAATTTCTTTTTAGAATCTAAATTAATATTTTTAATACGGTTTGTAATAAAAAACAAATAAAATTTGATTTTCAAAAAGATATTTTGACTTTTGCAATCGTCTTTCTTTCCAAAATCACTCATTTTCTTGCAACACAAAATTTTCGATAAAATTTTTTCGATAACGACTTTAAAATAGCTTTATTCTTTTAGAAAATTTTTAATTGAATCAGAATTTAGTAAAAAGATTTGTAAAATTTGCATAACTTTAAAGTTTTGTTAATCATTTGTCTTGGGCTTTTGTTGCACCATAAAAATCTGATATTTTCTTCTCTTTTTCTCAAAAGCGATCAATTTTTGGTATCGTTTGAGTGAAGAAATTCTTTTATTTAAAGAAAAATAGTTTTATATTTAATTTTATTTAATTTTTAAACAGGATAATATTTATTTTTGTATACTTTGTGCTTTGAAAAACTTGCCAACGAATCTAGAATTGAAGAGAATGCCCGATAATCCTTTTAGCAGTTCCGAAAATGACTGCGAGTAAAAAAATGTACGGTAAATATTGTAGCTTTTTCTTCCTTAGCTTTTCCTCAGTCAGAAAGTTTTCTTTTAGGATTATGTTCAAAATCTGATCAACTCACATTTGATTTCCGTCTTTGCAGTACTTTTCGCTTGAGCTTTTGCGCGTCCGTCCAATTTGGGTTCTCCGTACGACGAATGATCTCATTCTAAAGTTAAAACAACCCAGTTTCTGGGAAATTGTTTTAAAACCGAATCCAAAAACAGTCAAAGATACAATAGACATTATTCATTTGAGCAAAATATTTTTGAGTTTTTTCAAAAACATTCAAGCATTGAGTTCTCAATAAACACAAACCTCGTATCGCCGAACATCGACCTCAATTCCATGGTGTTCCAGCATGTACAGGGCGCACTCGGTGTGAAATTTGTGCACAAAGTACATCCTGACTATCGAGTCGATTCGAGCCTCACACCACGCCGCATACTCCTGGTAGATCTTTTCAAAATGTCTCTGCTTTTCGTTTTTGTCATCGATTTGCTGAAACGCGACTTTTCTTTGCACAAAATTGGCTCAACCTCTAGAACTGCTTTAAAAACGGCGAGCTTGATGTCCATCTCGTGGACAGCGTTGTCTCCGAGGGTTTTCGAGACAAACCGGTCGATCTCTGTGTCGGAGATTTCTTTTGAAGTATGTTTATGACAATATAGATTTAAGTTAAACCGTATTCTGGTGAGTCCGGGCGTGGAAAATTGATGGGCAATGAAGCACTAAATGGCAATAAAATTTTGGCGTTTTTGACCTGCTTTGAAGTTCTGTTTTAACGATGCTATGCCAAAGCTGGCCTGGTCTTTCAATCAGATTGGTTTTAGAGTCCAGATGGAAGAACCCTGATCGGCTATAGCCGATAGTGTCTTACTATATTTCCAGGCTTTCATTTACCTCATAACCACAGTTGAAGGATCAAGGGAAGCGTAACTAGTCGTTGAAACATCTCCAAGAATTGGAACTTTATTCAACAACTCGTCTCTTTCCGCGTTTTGATCAATTTCCATCGCTTTCTTTGACTGGTCATCAATGATTTGCTGAAGCAATCTTTATTTGAATCCACTTTCCTCCTCACCATTATCTCCTCTTTCAAATCTTTCCAATTCCCTCTCGAAATTACTTCTTCAATCATCAACAATGTTTTCTGTCTTAATTTCTGATCATCACTCATCAAAACCAAGTCTTCAATGGTAGGCAAAGCCTAAAATTAATTCAATTTTTGTTTAAATCGTCATTTACCGATAAATTCTTCTCCTGATCGTTCATCTTGATATATTTTGAACTAAAAACAGAATTAAAACTGAAATAAATACAAGAAAAATAAAATCAAATCGTTGAAATCGAATCCAAATCTCATCCGAAACAAGAAACTCAAAAATTTATTAAAGAATGCTTAATGGTGAAAATCCTGCATTATGTTTGCTCGCCAAACTCTGCGA